GTCATTTCTTGCCTTCTTTAAAAATAGCTTTTCAAATCTTACAGACACAGGTGAAGAGTTATAGTGAAAAATAAAATCATTTCCAATATCCGTTAAGAGAATTTGCTCACATATTAAGGTTATTTGCTCATATTATCTTAAAATACATCTTAATTTATAAATGTTTGGCAGATAAAAATTAAAAAGGATTGGGTTTGTAATTATATTACCTAATAGGTAGGTGAACACGTGTAACACATACCTATATTTGATGTTATTGATGTGCTTATCGCTGCGACAAATAAAAAGGTACACAAAGGTGGGAATAACTAAGGAAAGTTATTTTTTTTATTATGACAGGCCTCGTGAGAAATCAACCCTTTTTAAAACGCTTTTATTTTTTTCTTTCTTGACTTACTTCCTCGTAGTCGTGGGTTTTTCAAAATCTTTAAATTTGCTTTTTATTACTACGGAATACTGAAGGAATAACTATAGTGATAAAGGTTATTTTTCTCGCAGTAAATTTTATCTTCTTTATAGACCATAAAAGGAAACGTTACGAGTAATTTTAGCCCTTGAAGTAATCGTTTCATTTAATTAATGGTAGCTTGTTAAATTCAGAGGCAATAGAATCCTGTTTACTTCATACCTGCTTTGTTTATTGAGAATTATGAACAAAATAGTAGTTTAAATAAAACAAGATTTCATGGCGTATATTAACGAGTTTTATATTCTCGGTGTTTAGAGCACTTTATTTTACTTCACTTCACTTACTATTTTACTTTTATTCAACGTCCAAGTGTCATAGTTAACCACAGCTACCTCCAGATTTAAATTATTAATTTTTGCTCTGATCTACGCATTATGAACTTATAGTATCTTAATGACTTGCAGTTGTATGCTTGGGTTGAAATTTTATTTTATTAATTATAGGATCCCAAGCAGATGGTAGCACCCCGCCAACTTTTCTATTGAAATTAGGATTTTTTTATTTCAATAGCCTTGCGAATGGAGTGGAGTGAGGAATTGTTCGGATTAATCCCAGCCGCCAAATTTCACGAACGCACATCGCGGCAGAACTCCCGATACCATCCACACCATCTGGATGATTGGCGGTCCACCACGGTGCGATTTAGAAGATGTTTTCTTCCTCGCACGACTTCCTTGTGGAATCGATTACGATCAGCGATTTTTCCGGACCGATACGACTTAGGGATCTTCAAGAAAAGAACGTACTCCTTTTTTAAAGGCCGGCAACGCATCTGCAATTCCCTCCCTGGTGTTGCAGTTGTTCATGGGCGGCGGTAGTCACTTACCATCAGGTGAGCCGCATGCTCGTTTGCACCCTCTCCTATAAAAAAAAAATCATCCTTGGAAGGAATCGGTGTTTTTAGCGAGGGTCTGTGATCTATAAAATCTGATGAAGTGACGGGGGTGATCCTGTAACTTCACAGACTGCAGACTTCCGGAGCGTTGATTCTTCACATCAACTATGTGTTCCTTAAGGCGGGTTTATATTGAGCTTTTAGTTTGTCCTATGTAATCCAGGTTGTACACTCCTGCATCTTGCAGAGGGACCTTATACTTGACTGATGGTAAAAACTGACTAATATTCTTCGGCGGATTGAAGTATGTTTTAGTGAAAGCACGCTTCAAGATGTCACCAATCTTGTCAGTGACACCTCTGACATATGGCAGTACAGCAGGCACATGCTCGATTGTGGCCGGCTTCACTCGTTCATTGTAACGCAAGCGCGGGACCCGAAGCTTGTTGTCGTGAAAAACTTGCTTGACGTGTTGATGTCATGTGTTAAGTGTTACAGACCCTCTTGTTCTCTGAAACAAAGATTTACCCACGGTAGATAACAGTGAAGGATGGTGATGAAAATCACCTTTTAATATTGTTGCGCGCCACTATTAATGTCTTGTACATGGCAACACTAGTTACACTAGCGCCCTCTAGTGTCGAATAGCAGAACTAGGAGAGTCAAGATCCTTCCAAATATTTCGGGACCGATATGTACTCGAACATTCTAGATGTCGCTTCAGAAGAAGGTTCTGGAAACTATCTGAGGCCCTATATAACGCCGGTACAGACCACGACCGAGGCAGTATTGAATTGGCGATACAAGAGAATACTTTGAAGCGAAATAACTGCGAACCAAAGTGATTGTGTTTTATTATTAGTGTGGTTGTAGATTGTAACTAGTGTTGTGTAATTAAAGTGGCAATTTTGGTAATTCAATCGGCAGTTTTTAATTGTCTCGAACCCCAAGCTCGTAACAATTGGTGTCAGAAGTGGGATCAAATCATGCCGATTTTACCAAAGCACGACATGGAGGGTATCCGTAACCGAAGTCAACGCCAGCTGGAGACGGACCAGAGACGATATGGTAATGCAACGCCGCAAATGTCGGAGGGCCAGCTACTGACCACGGAGGCCGGCCCGTCAGCAGCTCCTGCATCTGCAGCACCTGACTTAGGTGCTCTGATGATAATGCTTCAGGATCAGGCTCGCCGACAGGAGGAACAGGCCCGTCGGTTGGAAGAGCAGCTGCAGCGCGGACATGATCTACCTGCATAATGTCATCGTGGCTGATATAATGGACGACTGCATCCTGGGCCTAGACTTTATGAGGAAGAATTGTTGTGAGATCGACGTTAAGCAAGGCGTTTTGAAATGTGGACAAGAGAAACTTTTCGTGGAAGGGGCGTTACTAGGGAATGTGTACAGCCTTAAGAAGATTGTTCTTCCGCCGAGATCAGAAACGATTGTGCCGGTTAGTCTTCCTCGGAGTCTTGGGCAAGCACATCGTTGTGTACTCGTGGAAAGGGTAGACAATGACCTTCCATGGAAAGTGGCTCGAACCTTGGTCAGAACCACCGACATCTCAGGAGTACGTGTGTTGAACCTTTGTGATCAGGAACAGATTATAGAAAAAGGCACATTGGTTGGTACTAGTGAGGAAGTGGATTAGTTGCGTCGGTGCGAATATCTATCGACTAAGACCCCCAGCAAGGATGGACAAAAGAGAATGACCACACTTTTAGAAGACTGTCGCAGCATTCTCTCCCCGAATGAAATGGTCAAGGCGAAGAAGTTGTTACTCAAGTACGCCAACGTTTTCTCGTCAAACGAAGCTGACATAGGAAAGACTGGCTTAGTTCAACACAAAATAAAAACAGGAGAAGAATTGCCTATTCGTCAGCGGCCAAGAACATTGCCTATGGCACGTGAAAAGGAAGTGGAAACCATGATTGAGGGAATGGTGAAGGGTGGTGTTATTGAACCTTCATCTAGTCCATGATGTTCACCTATGGTGCTGGTAAAGAAGAAGGACGGCAGCATGCGGTTTTGTGTTGACTACCGCTGCCTGAAGGACATTACGAAGAAGGACAGCTATACCTTGCCTAAAATTGATGACACGCTGGACATGCCTACAGGCGTAAAGTAGTTTAGTACGCTGGACCTGACAAGTGGCTACTGGCAGGTTGAAATTGACCCTAAGGACGAGGAGAAAACTGCATTCTCCACAGGAAAGGGTCTGTGGCAATTTAAAGTCGTGCCCTTTGGATTGTGCAATGCTCCAGCAAGGTTTGAAACGTTGATGGAGCTTGTACTTACCGGGCTAATTGGAGATGCCTGCCTGGTTTACTTGGATGACATCATCATCGTAGGCCGTACGTTTGAGGAACACCTTCAAAACCTGGAACGCGTGCTCATGAAGATCCAGTGTGCCAACCTCAAGTTGAGTCCGAAGAAGTGCTCACTATTCAAACGGCAAGTTAGCTTTTTGGGGTATGTAGTGTCCGAAAAAGGTATCCGCACGGATCCAGAGAAAATTGCCGCTGTCAAGGAGTGGCCGGTTCCAAAAGACAAGACGCAGGTTAGAGCATTTTTGGGTTTGTGCTTTTATTATCGGCGATTTGTGAAGAACTTTGCAGATATAGCCAAACCTCTGCACAAGTTAACCGAGGAGAAGCGACATTTCTGCTGGAATGAAAGTTGCGATATTGCATTCCAGGAGCTCAAGAACCGTCTGTGCAAAACACCTATTTTGGGGTACCCTGATGCGGGCAAGGAATTCATAGTTGACACAGACGCAAGTGATATTGGACTTGGCGGTGTGATGTCTCAACGGAATGGTGATCAAGAGAGTGTGATAGCGTACTTCAGCAAGTCGTTGTCAAAACCGGAAAGGAACTATTGTGTCACACTATTTTAAAGGCCGGCAACGCATCTGCAATTCCCCTGGTGTTGCGGTTGTTCATGGGCGGCGGTAGTCACTTGCCATCGGGTGAGCCGCATGCTCGTTTGCCCCCTCTCCTATAAAAAAAAAAACCAAGACGGGAATTGCTTGCTGTGGTAAAGTCCTTGCAGCAATTTAGCAAATATCTTCTGGGGCGGAAATTCCACTTACGAACTGACCATGCTGCACTGAAATGGCTATTGCAGTTCAAAAATCCGGAAGGACAAGTTGCGAGATGGATTGAACTACTGCAGCAATACGACTTTGTAATAGAACATCGCAGCGGGAAATCTCATGGCAATGCAGATGCATTGTCAAGAAGACCTTGCCCTGAAGATTGCAAGCATTGTACTAGGCAAGAGGGTAAGGAAGTGGTATCTGTGAGGATGCTCAGGACAGACCAGCTCAGCAATGAGTGGATGGACAGCCTAGAACATGCACAGCAGGAAGATTCGGACATTAAGCCGATTCTGGAATGTATGAAGGCCAGTGCTCCGAAGCCCAAGTGGAGCGACGTCTCAGCGATGAGTTCGACTACGAAAAGCTATTGGGCCCAATGGGACAGCTTGCTGATTCAGGATGGAGTCCTGTGACGTAAATGGGAAAATGGTCGGGGAGACAGTTGTCATTTGAAAATGGTTGTCTCTAAGGTCGAATAAGTACCGGATGTACTACAGCTGTACCATAGTGGTTGTTCAGGAGGCCACCTGGGAGTTAAAAGAAATCTACTGAAGATCCGAGAACGGTTTTACTGGGTCCACTGTCGTGACGATGTCGAGGACGAGGTGCCGCAAATGTACAAGTTGTGCGGCTGTAAAGGGACCTCTAATTCGTAGTAGAGGCGCATTGAAATTGTACAATGTTGGTGTACCATGGGAGAGGATAGCAATTGACGTTGCGGGGCCGTTTCCGGAAAGAGAAAGTGGTAACAAGTATTTCATGGTTGTGATGGATTACTTCACTAAGTGGCCAGAAGTCTTCGCCATTCCAAATCAAGAAGCTTCAACAGTTGCAGTTAAACTAGTTCATGAAGTCTTCTGTCGTTTTGGAGTACCCTTTGAGATTCACAGCGATCAAGGAAGGAATTTCGAGTCTCAAATATTCCAGGAAACTTGCAGAGTTATGGGTACTCATAAAACACGAACAACTTCTTACCACCCACAATCTGATGGAATGGTAGAACGATTTAATCAGATATTGGAAAGGTACCTGGCAAAAATTGTGGAAAAACGGCAACGAGACTGGGACAGGTACATACAACCGTTTTTGTTGTCATATCGAAGCGCTGTTCACGAAAGTACATCAGTGACGCCAGCTTTCGCAAACTTTGGGAGAGAATTACGGCTGCCTGCAGACCTGATCACCGGAATACCACCTGATGCCCCACGTAGTATAACCGATATGCAAATGACTTGCGGAACAAAATGAATGACATTTATGAGCAAGTCAGACAGTCGGACCAGCAAACGTCTGAAAAGATGAAAACACGGTATGACCGCAAAATGAACAACAATGGGTTTGACGAAGGTTCACCAGTGTGGTTACACAATCCAGTTCACAGCAAAGGGAAATCTCCTAAGCTTCAAGTTAAATGGGACGGACCGTACCGGATTATGACATGGATCAATGACATAACCTACCGGATACAGAAAGGTGCCAGAGGTACTCCTAAGATCGTCCCTGTGGATCGACTGGCGCGTTATTATGGGGCCAATAATGCTCGGGACGAGCATGTAGCATGCAGTGTTGCGCGCCACTATTAATGTCTTGTACATGGCAACACTAGTTACACTAGCGCCCTCTAGTGTCGAGTAGCAGAACTAGGAGAGTCAAGATCCTTTCAGAAATTTCGGGACCGATATGTACTCAAACATTCTAAATGTCGCTACAGAAGAAGGTTCTGGAAACTATCTGAGGCCCTATATAACGCCGGTATAGACCACGACCGAGGCAGTATTGAATTGGCCACCATCTACTTGTTTGTAGAACTCTTCCAGTTACAATAGGTAGCCAGATGTAAGGCAGTGTTTGAGAAATACTGCATATTCTACGGGCATGTTGTTTTCTTCCAGCTTTTAGTTTGTGTGTGCTCTTGTATGTCCTCTGAATGGTGAGAGTATTTTCGCTAAGTGCTTAGCCAAGTTGTAAGTTCGTGAATCGATTTGTGCTTGTGTAGTTTTGATAACCCATACAACTTTGGTAGTTTGGCACACGTTTGTTGCTTCAAGCCGCCGAAGAAGATTAGTTGGGTTTTACTATCAGTCAAATGTAATGTCCCTGTGAAAGATGCAGAAGTGTACAAGCTTGATTGTGAATGTGGTCTCTCTTACATAGGGCAAATTAAAAGATCAATTAAAACCAGCGTTAAAGAACACATAGCTGATATGAATAATCGATGCTCCGCGATGTCTGCAGTCTGTCAACACGTACAAGATTGCTCCCCGTCACTACATCAGATTCGATAGAACACAAATTCTCGCCAAAGAACACCAATTCCTTCCAAGGATGATTCGCGAGTTTATTGAATTCAAAATATATCCTAATGTCAATAGAGAAGAAGGGTGGGTGCTACCATCTGCTTGGGATCCTATAATTAATAAAATCAAGTCCCAACCCAAGCGTACAACTACAAGACTTCAATATACCATAAGTTCATACTGCATAGACGGTGAATACTTTAGTCTCCCCGTGACCATCGATGCTGTAATGTGCTCGAAACGTCGAAAATATAAAATAAGTTAATATACGCGAAAATTCCGTAAAAACTAGTTTTATTGAAATGTGTGTAGTGTTTACGTAAATATAAAAATAGTAGAGAAGTCACTAAAATAAATAAAAATTTTGAATCTCATTTAATAAATATCATTTCTTTTTATAATTTCTGTTAAATTTTAATCGTCACGCCATGGAACTCGCGAATCGTTGTTCTCGAAGATTATCGAAATAATATCCTCTTATTTCATTTTTAGTATTCATAATATTACTATAATAATTTATGTTTTTCATAAACAACGATTTGAAAAAATTTACAAATAAAAAATATGAAGTAATAACAAAATAAAAATATATCATGTAATATGATTAACGTAACGTAAAAGATAAATAATACGTGATAATATGTGCCGTATAGTGGTGGTTAATGCAGTACCCCATATCATCAACGGGAGAGGGAAATAAAACAGATGGGTTATTTTCCTGATAACAACTCGATAATAATAATAATAAAAACTATAGTTGCTAACACACCTGAAAAGTATATCAACTATGACATCATTTTTTTTATAGAATTAGGGTGACAAACGAGCACACAGTCCACCTGATGGTAAGTGGTTGGTGTGGCCCATAGACATCTACATATATCCTCGATTATGAGTCAGAATGCAGATGCGTTGTCACCCGTGAGGACTAAGATGGAATGCCTCGTTTCCAGTAAAAAGGGTCTCCGGTTCTCTACACTCACCACACGAAACACAGCAGCGTTATGCTGCTATTTTACGCTGGTATTCTGTGAGAGCGTGGTCCTTCCTTGGTCGAGCTGACCCATTTGTTCTACAACTATACCAGTAATATAGCTACAGCATGGCTCTACCACGTAAAGAATATGGAAGGCTTATGTACCTACTTATAGTATGAAATGTCGATAGGCTAATGTAAATGTAGCCATGTAATGTATGAAGGAATTAAAAAAAATAGATATTAATTCTAAACGGAAGCGACGAGACGCTGAAACAATATCATTGGTGTCATATTAATTAAAAACTGATGTCTGTAGATAGTGTTGTCTTTAGACATAGGAGTACCAAAGTAATCTATAATATTATTAATATGTTATAAAAATCGGAAATAGTTGTTATTTAACATATGAAAGAAAAGTAAGTTTCTACCTGTTATGATTAACAAACAAACACTGAAAGCGATGGATTCTAAAATTTCTCTCAGTTTATGTGGATAACAAATATATGTATATTCGTTTAACTTGCCATATATTGTCAAGATTTTGATAATACTGAAATGAAAAGATAATTGTACTAATTAAATAAATTAAGAATTTCCTCGAAGTACAATTACTGATTAAGCCAATTGATACCACGGTCTGATTCGCGTGGAACAGGTATTACTAGATAATATATTATAAGTTTCGTGTAATGCCTTGTTGTATGTCATAATAATTTGCTCCTGTATACCTAATGCTCACTTTAAACATTTAGCCTGCTGTTATCAAAACATGTTACGAGGCTTTCGTAATTTTGTCCTAAATCCAAAACAATACAATACAAAAGATTTTTAATTACAGTATTTAGAGATTTACATGTATGTATGTAATATTTTAACATACTATTTGGGATTTGAATTAATATTTTATAAATAAGTTTTTATTTAAATATTTTATACAACATTTTGTAAAAGTATTTTTAAAACTTTTCTAAAAGTTGCCTGTTGCATCAAACATGTTTTGTAAAGTGGTAAAGAATATATTTTAATAACCGGGAAAAATGTTTTCTCATTTACGATACTGATTAAAATGCTATTCTTTAGAATAATGTTCATTTCGTAATAGTGATTTTTTCTCATAGTATTGTGTTCAGTGAATGTACTTTATATAGGCAAACTAGCATGGCTTTTGTTTCCGGAAAATATTTCACTTTTTCAGAAGTCCAAATAATTATACTGTCCATATAGCAAACACTGTTGAATAAAACACAAGTATTATCTTGTAATCGTAGAGGAATGGTATTAAAAAATACTTGTAATATTGGGCTGGGATTACATTTGTATAACTTTCATAATAACACAACAAACAACAACACAAACACTCACGCCTGTCACACAGAGGGGTAGGCAGAGACTACGGATATCCATTTGGCGCGATCCTGACACAGCTCTCTCGCCTCCTTTACATCCATATATCTACGCATACACACTCGTCGGTTAAGGGTCTCCTAATCTGGTCCATTTTCAATGTATCGCCGATTTGGTCGATAAACCTTCGTCTAGGGCGTCCCTTCCCGACCCTGCCGTTCACTTCTGCAACATAAATTTGCTTTGTCACTCTTTCCTCGTTCATTCTGTCTATATGACTAAACCACCGAAGCATTACTTTCATAATAAGTATGCACAAAAATTATAATCACGGTTTTCTTCTTTATGGGCCAATGGATTATTTCTGTTTGACAGCCGGATTGGGAATTGCAATATTGATTCTTGAGACTGACGTGAGATTCCTTTTTATTATGATGGAAGGTCTATTCGACAGTGAAAAGGGTCTTCGCTTATCGTCTCACTCTAAAATAAACAGTAATGCTTATTAAATTATGCCGGTATTGAGAGTTTTGTCTTTTCTGTCTGTATAAGTCATGACATTATGATCATACCGTGAAGTTATATACTTGAGCTCAAAAGTGGGTTGAGCTGTTTTTGGGATTCAATAATTGGTTGTGAGCTAACTTAAAACATGAATCTTTATTTATTCATAATGATGATATGTGCGCCTATAATATAGGAGGCTCGGGAAAATACAGACGTGTTTGTTTGTTCTACTTACTTAATTTAATGCGTCTGTAGCCATAGGTAAACAAAGTAAAACCAATTTAACATGCGATTAAAAGTCTGAGCTATTATTCCATAACGAAGTACGTTGCGCTGGCTTTGACAGGTTCTAAAATAAGTACCTAATCTCGAGATTACTTAAATGAATTTACTGAAAATATTGTTTTTCTTCTAACTGGCATTTTCAAAGTTAATTCACGATCATCATTAGAGCTATTCACAAGTCCATTGCTGAACATAGGCCTCCCCCAAGAAATGCCACAAAGCACGGTCCCGAACCAGCAGCATCCATTGACTTCCTACATGTCTTACCAGATCGTCACTCCACCTAGTGGGGGAACGCCCTACACTTCGCCTGCCGGTACGAGGCTGCCACTGGAGAACCTTTCTTCCCCATCGGTTGTCGGTTCTTCGAGCTAGGCCGGCCCATTGCCACTTCAGCTTACTAATCCGTTGGGCTGTGTCGGTCACTCTGGTTCTAATGCGGATATCCTCGTTTTTAAGTATATCAAGCAGAGTAACACCGAGCACAGCCCTCTCCATAGCTTGCTCAGCGATTTTGAGGTTCCTCATACGGCCAGCAGTGAAGGACCACGACTCAGATCCATAGGTCATCACTGGCAACACGCACTGGTTGTACAATCCACTTTTGAGGTTTTGAGGTAAGTCTGACAAGAAGATGTGTCGTAATCTCCCGAATGCTGCGCGGCCAAGTTGAATCTGTCGATTGACTTCTCGGTCGAAGTTGGACCTATCTAGTCGGACTATTTGTGCCAGGTAACCATATTCGTCAACAACTTCGAGCTTAGTGCTCCCAGCAACTACCGGCATAGGTGTGACATCGACGTTAAACATGAGTTTTGTTTTGTCCGTGTTCATCT